TTAAAATATATATATTTTTTTTCTTAATTAGGTTTGCTGATATTTTGTTGAAGTATTCTGTTTTATGTTCATGAGGGATATTGATTTGTAATTGTATTTACTTGTAATGTCTTTCTCTGGTTTTGATATCAGGATAATGCTGACCACATAAAATGAATTGGAAACCATTCCCTTTTCTTCTGTTTTCTGGTAGATATTGTGTAGAATTTGTATTCTTTCTATTGTAAATGTTTGGGAGAATTTTCCAGGGAAACACCTGTGCCTGCAGTGTTAGAGACTTTTAACTACATATTTAATTTTTAAAATAAATTTACAACTGTTCAGGTTATTATTTCTTCTTGAGGGAACTTTGTTGTTTTTACAGAATTCATTTTATCTATGTTGTAGAATTTATGGACATAAAGTTGTTCATAGTATTCCCTTTTGAGCCTTTTAATGCCTCTAGAATCTATAATGATGTGCCCCCTTTATTCCTGAAACTGCTAGTTTTTCTTTTCTTTTTTCAGTCAGCCTGATTACATACAGCTTTAATGATTTCATTAATCTTTTATAAAGAATTAGCTTTTGGTTTCATTGATTTTTTTTTTTTTACTGGTTTTCAATTTAATTGATTTTTGATCTTTTACTTCCTTTCTTGTGCTTTAGTTTTGATTTCTCTTTTTATAATTTCTTAAGGTGGATATTTAGATTATTGATTTGAATCTTTTCTTCTTTTCCAATATTAGCATTTAATACTATAAATTTCCCTCTAAACTCTTTGATATACTTCATTTGCATTTTCTTTAGGTACAAAATATTTTCTGGTTTCCCTTCTGACTTTATTTTTTACTCATAAATTATTTAGAAGTTTGTTGTTTAATTCCCAGATATTTTGGAATTTTCCAAATATCTTCTTGTTACTTTGTATGATTTTTCTTTCAAATTTATCAAAGTTTGCTCTATGACCCAGATTATGGACTATCTTAGTGAATGTTCTTTGTGTATTTAAAAAAGAGTAGGATTTCATTTTATTTTTTTCTACTAATGTTAGGTGGAGTATTCTACAAATGCTATTTAGGTTAAGTTGGTTGATAGTGTTGTTTAAGCATTCTTCATCCTTGCTAATTTCTACTTACTTTTGTTCTATCAGTTATTAAGAGAGGAGTATTGAAGTCTCCATATACAATTGTGGATTTGTCTATTTTTTCTTTCAAATATTTCAGTTTTTGCTTCATGTATTTTGAAGTCTTGACATTATATGAAGCATTCTCACTTAGGATTCTTATGTCTTCTAGGAAAACTGACCCTTTTTATCATGTTATATCTCACTTTATCCCTGGTGTAGTATTTCTTATTCTGAAGTCTACTTTGATATTAATATGCCACTTGAACATTATTTTGAAAATGTTTGCATGGTATATCTTTTTCCATCTCCTCCCCCCCTCCCTTAATCTATGTCATTATATTTAAAGTGTATTTTGAACACACAGCATAGAGTTGGATCTTGTGTTTTATTTTAATATTTTTTTAATTGATTTCAAAGAGGAAGCGGGGGGGGGGCATCAGTCATCAATGATGAGAGTGAATCATTGATCAGCCGCCTCCTGCACGCCCCCTGCTGGGCACTGAACCCACAACCCAGGCATGTGCCCTAACCTGGAATTGAACTGTGACCTCCTGCTTGGTTCATAGGTTGACACTCAACCACTGAGCAACACACCTAGGCTGGATCTTGTTTTTAAGTCCAATTTTACCATTTCATAATTGGTATGTTTAGACCATTTATATTTAATATAATTATTGATGTTGTTGAGAATTTTAGATCTACCATCTAATCATTTGTTTTGTTTGTCTTCTCTGTTTTTATTCCTCTGTTCTCTCTCTCCTGCCTTCTTTTCTCCTTCTTTGAATTACTTAATTTTCTTAGTATGGTAATTTATTGTCCTTTTTGTTTGTATCTCCTTGTATTTTTTAATGTTTGCAGTATTACAACAAACATATATACTTTGTGTTAATATTTTGCCACTTTAATAGAATGTATCCTTAACAACTATATAGGTTCCTTTAACTCTCCTTCCTTTATGTTACAGTTTTCATGTGTATTTCATCTACGTATATTTATTTATTAATATATTTTATTGATTTTTTTATAGAGAGGAAGGGAGAAGGATAGAGAGTTAGAAACATCGATCAGCTGCCTCCTGCACACCTGGGACCCTTCAGTCCGCAGGCCGACGCTCTATCCCCTGAGCCAAACTGGTTAGGGCATCTGCGTACATTTAAAATTCCATAAGGCAATGCTCAGATTTTTATTTTCAATAGTCATACTTATTTTAAAGAATTTAAAAGGACAAAAATAGTCTGTTGCACTTACTTAGGTATTTATTATTTCTATAACTCTTCCTCTGTTCCTATAATTCCAACTTTCCCTCTGGTATTATTTCTGTTCAGCCTTGAAGAAACTTCCATTAGCATTTCTTCTAGACCAGGTCTCTTGGCAATGAATGCTGTTAGTTTTCTTTAATCAGAGAATGCCTTTATTTCAGCATTTCTGAAGGCTATTTTTTCTGGATATAGAATTCTAGGTTGACACTTGTGTGTGTTTTTTTAACAATTTAAAGATAATGTTCCGCTGTCTTTTGCCTTTTATGATTTCTGATGAGGAAGCTCTAATTATTTGAGTCATTCCTCTATATATGGTATTTCATTTTTCTCTGCTTTCGAGATTTCTTTAACTTTGATTTTTAGTGATTTGATTATGATGTTTGGTCATGGTTTTCCTTGAGTTTACCTTTTTGTGGTTAGCTGAGCTTATTAGATCTCTAAATTAATCTTTCTCCAAATTTGGAAAGTTTTGAGTCATTATTCTTCCCAAATTTTTGTCTCTTCTGGGACTCCAGTGACACACTGTTTTCCCGCCTGCCTTTAAGGCTCTGTTATTTTCTGTGTTTTTGTTGTTGTTATTGTTGTTGTTTTTTCCTCTCTCTGTTCTTCAGATGAGATCATTTATATCTTCACGTTCACTGACTTTTCCTTCTGTCTAATCGGCTCTTGATCCCATCCAGTGAATTTTTTATTTCGAATATTGGTGTGTGTTTTTTTTCAGTTCTAAAATTTCTATTTAGTCCATTTTTATAGTTTGTATTTCACTTCTTTCAATAGTGTTTACCTTCATCTCATAGAGCACTGTTATAATAGTTGCTATAAAGTCTCTGACTGATAATTCTAACATCTGGTTCATCTTGGTTGGCATCTGTTGATTGTTTTTCCCTTGAGAATTGATCACATTTTACTGTTTCTTTGTAAGCCAAGTAATTTTGGATCCTGGACATTTTGAATATTGTGTTGTGAGAGTCTGGGTCCTATTAAAATCCTCTGGATAATTTATTTTTTTAAAGCATACAACCAACCAGAGTAGATTCAGGATATAAGGCCTGTTTCACCTTCTTCAGGTGACAATGTCAATAAAGTCTTTAAGGCCTTGGCTGTGCTTCCTGGGGTCTGTTTCATGCACATGAGATGTTACCAGAACTTGTACCTCTTTGCACACAGTATCCAGGATCCCCTTGCTCCTGCTCCCGAGTGGAGGGTAAGGTCCCCTTTCCCAGGCCTTTCACCAGGTAGATGAGATTTCTCTCAAGTCTTTGCTGAATATGCCATCTGTAAAGTTCCTCTAATGGGTCTAATCTTGTGTCCAAGCCAGAAGAAAAGAGAGGGAAAAGAAAACAGGAAGTCATCCCCATATGACTTGCTTCTTCATGTTTTGTTTCCATAATCTGCTTGTAATATTATTCTATTAGTATTTAGCCTTTACTTTTCAGAGTCGCTAGATTGCTGCTTTTTGTATTTTGTTCAGATTTTTTGGTTATAATCATGGCTAAGCTGTGATAAGCTGTGGTGGCCTTATCTAGTTCGACCACATTTTGTTTTTCAATTGGCATTTAAAAATATGGAAATGTTAATTGTAAATATTTGTGGCTTAGATAGATTATGTCCATTTTTATTTTCTTGTGGTAAAAGTTTATTCGGTATTTAAAATACCAAAATTTCTAAGTGAAGAAGCTTGCTAATATTAAATGTGGAAGAACATAAAGCATCTCTTTTGGACAAACAAAACATAATGATCATTTCTATCTTTATTATTCATTTAACACAACTGATTAAAATAAAATACATACAGACATGTGCCTTTTCAAAGCAAAAGTATTGTGAATGGCTTTGAGGTATTGGTATCTATCTTGTTTTGAAATTAATAAAGAAAAACTTGAACTTTTAAAACTTGTAAACTATTTGCTTGAATTAGCTACCTCTTTTCTGAAGATTGTAGAAAGTAATAAATCAAAACCTTAATTCAAATTATAAGTTATGTCTTCTAAATTCACTTTGGCTTTTACCTTAAATAACAAGTGTAATTTTGATTAATGTTTAGTGATTTCATTCACATAAAGACATACATTTAATGAGTTCATTTATATAAAGATTAATTCCTGGTTAAATTATTTAGGGAAGTATATTTAAGTGAATTTTATTTTTAAGACATTATTGATATAATAGATAGGCATACTAATTAATAAATACAATAAAGCTTGACACTCCTATAAGGAAACTAGGAAGTTGTTTATTTGTGTTCATTGTGTTCTTTATTTAGAGTGACTTTTTGCAGAATCCATGTATAAAATCTGTTTTTAAATTGAAGTGGCAAATTGGACCTTAGGGTTGTACCTTTTATTGACTTTTTGTCCAAAATGTTACATAAGTAGAAAAGTATTTAACAATAAACATTTGAAATATCTTTCATCTTTATTTGTAACAAACAGTGTTTGAATCTTTGGTTCAAATTCAGTTGTCCTCCTTCCATTAACTCTGCATGGGGTTTGTGGCTTGGATTAAAGAGAGAATTGTGTTATAAAAATGACAGATTTGAATCCATTTTGAAATGGTTTAAAATTTATCATTAGGTATTAGAATTGAACATTTTTATAATTTTTTTTAATTTACTGCCCTCTCTCCTTTTAAATTAGGTGCTCTGTGGATGTGTATAGTTTTAAATCCCCACTGCAAGTTGGAACAGAAGGCTAGTTGGCTAAAACAGCTGAAAAAGTGGAACAGTGTTGATGTCTGTCCATGGGAAGATGGAAATCATGGCAGTGAATTACCCAACTTAACCAACGCTCTGCCTCAGGGTGCAAATGTCAACCAAGGTTAGTCCACAGTAATATTCTGCTTTCTTCGTATCTAATTGTGCACATACATTTATGACAGTAACTTACAATGAATATGAGAAAATAATTTCCCCACTTAAGAACTTATTATAACTCAAGGAATTTAATGTGTTTTGACTGTGAATATATGTTTTAATTTTTACCTGAGACCATTGTGTGCTTTTCTTCATATTCTCAGAATACAGAAGGATGCAATACTTATATGTATTAGTATGGGTTATTTACAATTATATAAAACTAGACGTGGGGTCCCTCAGCCTGGCTGGCAATGGAGCCGATCAGGGCCGTCTCACCCAGTGTGGGGGGAGGGGGCGGGGGGGGGGGGGGACGGACCGTGGGAGGTTGGCCGGCCATGGGAGGTTGGCTGTGGGAGTGCACTGACCACCAGGGGGCAGCTCCTGCATTGAGCCCTGGTGGTCAGTGCATGTCATAGCTACTGGTCAACCGGTTGTTCAGTCGACCAGTCATAACAGTCACTTAGGCTTTTGTATATAGAGATTATATGGTATATAAACTTGCTTATTAACTATTTATTTTGAATATTTTTAATTTAATAAATCATGGTATAGATTGGTAATATTGAAAGGTTTTAGCAGCTGTGTGTTTTTGTCTCTTGGTCAATTCATATTTGCGCTACTGCATAGTCAGTTAAAAATTCTTAGTTTTAGAATATAGCAAGAATTTTATGATGGTTGGAAGGGCATGGGGTGCTGTTGGCATTTGGACTAGGAAAATTCTTCATTGTGAAGGATTGTCTAGCATACTTATTTCTACCTACTGCAGGCTAATAGTACCCCCTACTTTGGGACAACTAACAAATGCACACAGACATTTCCAAATGTCCTCTGAAGAACCTATGTCTTACATTTCCATCCCGTTTTGTTTGTTTGTTTTTGAGCTCCTCAATTGGATTGACCCATTTAGCTCAAGTCTCTCTTATCTTTTTTTTTAATCTTTCCTCTGCTTAACTATTTTTTCTCAGCTACTATAGCATTTTCTCCTTTCTTTCAGAACCAAATCTTAAAAGTAGTTAACACTTACAAATAAAACTTTCATTCATCAATTCATGTCACTATTTTTGTGTGATTTTGTGCTGTTGCTGCCTTTTTCTATTTTGTTTTTGAGAAAACTTGAAAGACTCTAAAGTTATGAAAAATGCAAGATGAGAGCTATATGATATCAGAAGGATCCAGAATCAAGACTGTTATTCTATGTTTGCTGGCCCCATATACAGTTGGTACTCCTGGAAAGAGATGACAATGTGCTGAGTGCAAATGTGGGTTAGCATAGTGTTCTCAGTCTCTATGAAGAAAGAATTACATGTATTACTCCACAGGGACTTGTCCAATGAAAAGGATGGAAGTTTTAGGACTTGGGAAAGATGATTGACTGGCTCTGCTTTGTCTAGAGGTATTTGCCTTGGGAATTCAGTATTTGAAATCTGTCATATTTTTATTGCTCATGATTTTATTTAATAACTTTGAAGAAAATACATGTATCCCTTATACCCAAATTATTTTCCAGAAGCTCAGAATTTTCAAGTTTAGCAATTCAACATCTTTTCCCTTGCATTGCTAGGAAAGGATATGCCTACACCTATATAGGCAATATCTTTAATCTTTTATTTCTTTCTATTTGGAAGTTTCTCTGTTTCACTCCTTACCTGCTTTTGGGGAGCACCATCCTAACATTTTACACTTACTTTCCATTTGGTTACTTTCTCCTTGGTTAAACAGGAATATTCCATTGGCTTCAGAACACCCTTAAACAGTGGTCCAGCCTCCAGATAAAACAGTTCATTTTATTTATGGTTTGGCCTAGGGGTATGAAGTCAGGACCTAGTTTCTGAGGGCAATATTTATAGCTGTTGTGCCTAAAGGCACCAAGGCTCCTGTTTTTAGCATAATGCTCACATCCTCCAGAAGGGCTGTCAGAAGAGAGCTGTACAGGCTGCTGGGGAGAGCCCGCAGTGGCCAGCAATGCCATTGCAGCTGGGTGTGGAGTGTACAGACAGTGGGCAGAACTGCATGTGTTGGCATATTGAAGTGAATGTGAAGGACAGATCAGGCCCTGACTTTGCTAGCAGGGATTGATTGTTAGAATTAATTAACAGCAGCAGTAATAGTATTAGAATCCACACCCTTTGAAAGAGTAGTTTGTTTGACTTTTTAAAATGTACGACAATGGTAGCCAATTTTTTATTTTTATATTTTTTGATAAAAGAACTAATTTCTCCCATTTTACCTTTCTGAATTTCTCAAGTTTTCTTCACTAAGTATACATTATTTTTTTAATTAAATCTTTATTGTTCAGATTATTACAGTTGTTCCTCTATTTTCCCCCCCATAGCTCCCCTCCACCCAGTTCCCACCCCACCCTTTGCCCTTACCCCCGCCACCCACTGTTCTCATCCATAGGTGTACAGTTTTTGTCCAGTCTCTTCCCACATCCCCCACACCCCTTCCCCCCCACCCCCGAGAATAGTCAGTCCACTCCCTTTCTATGCCCCCGATTCTATTATATTCACCGGTTTATTCTGTTCATCAGATTATTTATTCACTTGATTTTTAGATTCACTTGTTGATAGATATGTATTTGTTGTTCATAATTTGTATCTTTACCTTTTACTTCTTCTTCCTCTTCTTAAAGGATACCTTTCAGCATTTCATATAATACTGGTTTGGTGGTGATGAACTCCTTTAGCTTTTTCTTATCTGTGAAGCTCTTTATCTGACCTTCAATTCTGAATGATAGCTTGCTGGGTAAAGTAATCTAGGTTGTAGGTTCTTGCTATTCATCACTTTGAATATTTCTTGCCACTCCCTTCTGGCCTGCATAGTTTCTGTTGAGAAATCAGCTGACAGTCGTATGGATACTCCTTTGTAGGTAACTGATTGTTTTTCTCTTGCTGCTTTTAAGATTCTCTCTTTGTCTTTTGCTCTTGGCATTTTAATTATGATGTGTCTTGGTGTGGTCCTCTTTAGATTCCTTTTGTTTGGGGTTCTCTGCACTTCCTGGACTTGTAAGTCTATTTCTTTCACCAGGTAGGGGAAGTTTTCTGTCATTATTTCTTCAAATAGGTTTTCAATATCTTGCTCTCTCTCTTCTTCTGGCACCCCCATAATTCGGATGTTGGTACGCTTGAAGTTGTCCCAGAGGCTCCTTACACTATCTTCATATTTTTGGATTCTTTTTTCTTTTTGTTTTTCTGGTTGGGTGATTTTTGCTTCTTCGTATTTCAAATCTTTGTTTGACTTGATTCTTGCGATCCTCTAGTCTGCTGTTGGAACTCTGCATAATATCCTTTATTTCAGTCAGTGTATGCTTAATTTCTAGTTGGTCCTTTTTCATAACCTCAAGGGTCTCACTAGATTTCTTGATGGTCTCACTAAATTTATCGGTGGTTTCTAGAAAATACTTGAAAAACCTTAAAAGTGTGGTTTTGAACTCTATATCCAGTAGTTTGCTTTCCTACATTTCTGTCATTTGTGACTTGTTTCTTTGTCTCCGCATTTTTATGCTTCCCTGTGTCGATAGAGTGGCTTTCTGTGTTAGGTGTCCTATAGGGCCCAGTGGCTCAGCCTCCCCAATTACCTGAGGTGGACACTCTTGGTGCACCCCTTTGTGGGCTTTGTGCACAGTCTTGTTGTAGTTAAGCCTTGATTGTTGTAGGTATCACTGGGAGGAATTGACCTCCAGGCCAATTGGCTGTGAGAATCAGTTGTGTCTGCAGTGGGAGAACTTCTGAGCTGGAGACACCCTTCTGGGGCAAGACTTGCTTCAGTGGGGCTTTGGTGATCAATGAGTCTGCCCCCTGAGTGTGTCCCTTATGGATCTGAGGAGTTGTAATCTGGATGGTCCCACTCTGACCACTGGGTACACTGGCTCTTGGATCTCTAAGGAGGTGCTATTTTAGCCTCTGCCTGAGGCTACCCAGCAGGAGCTATGGAGAGATTCCTCTTCTTTGGGGTTTGGAGGTGCCCAGATGAGGCCCAGCTGTGAAGCAATGCAAGCTGCTGTGAGGCCTTGAACCTTCTTTTGGATGTTCTGGGTCTCTCTGATTCAGCTGCAGTTTGTTAGGTAATTTTCAGGTTGCAAAGGGCCGGGTCATTCATATGCAAGAGCCTTTGCGTAGAACTTGGGTGGGACGGGGTCTCAGGGGATCAACAGGGCGGAGCAAGCAGCTTTGGCTGCTCCCCAGTTCTACCCTAAGAGGCCCATGTCTCAGTGTCCCGGCAATCACTGAAAACACCTCTGAGAGAAAGCCGCCCTTGAGTTCTGCCTGATGCCAGACAGTCCAGTTTCTCCCCGTATGAGTTTGGGTCCCCAGAAACTCACCCGGAACTGGAGTTCAGAGCACTTGGGAGCTTGAGACTCCCTCCTGATTGAAAAAGACAACCGCGTCCTCAGCTGCCAGCCCTTTCCGCGCACCTCTCTATCTCTGCACTTTACTTCTGCACCTCCTCTGAGTCTCAGTGCTTTTCTCTTTCCTTCTAGTTGTAGAATTTCCACTCAGCCAGCTTTCCTGTGGTTCCGGATGATGTCCATTTTGTCTTTTAGTTGTATTTTTGAAGTAGTTGTGTGAGGCAGCAATTTCCGGTGTTTACCTATGCCGCCATCTTGGTTTCTCTCAAGCCCTGATATTCTTCAATAAGTATGCATTATTATTCATACATTTTATTAAAAATTTGGTTAATATAATCTGTTTCTCTTTTTTTTAAATCTTAATTGCAAAAATCAGAAAACAAAAGACATCTAAGATAAAAATTGACCATAATTTTGCCACCTAATCAAGCCAACATTTTGGTGTGTGTTTTTTTGTCATTGTCTACATACATAATCAGTTTTTTCTGTGTCCCATATTATTATAGAACTTTCTGTCTTACATTTTCATTTAAATATTATTTTATTAGTATTTAGCCTTTTTTTTGTTACAGTTGGTTTTATTGTTCTCTTAGAGCTAACAACTGTTAAAAGCCTAGTGTGCCCTATACCTTTCTCTATGCTCAGACAATCAATACAATCATGTGAAAAGTTAAGGTCTTCATTTTTTTTCTAATGGAATGCTATTATTGATACCACAGTGAAGCAAATCACCAGGTAGAATTTCTCATTCTTTTAATACATGCATAACATTAAGTTGCTCTTTTAAAAATCTCCTTTTAGTTTTAAATTCTATTTCTTTGATTTGAGCTAAACAGGATAAATGAAATGACAAAGCCACTTAAACATGGGTGAGCTTTGCACTTTGGAATATTTGATCAGTTGGCTATGAGAGGTGATGGAGCCAGTTCTTTATTGGGTAGGAGTATATTTATTCTGCTCAGCAAAGGCACTGATAGGCTCAAAAGGCCTTTTAATGTAAGGTGCACTCTTCCCATTTGTAAGATGTATAATTAAAACTATTGCTAGCAAGGAGTCTAGGCAGGGGCCATAACACATACATCAGTATCTATTCCTCTCAAATTATGTCATTGATGCATTTTGATATGTCTGCTATGCTTAGATATATAGATATCTAAGTTGACCTGAGACCAAACTGAAGTAATGTCTTTCTGTTAAAGACCTTCAGAAACCTTCCAGCTGAAATAGGTGAATTTGGACTGAGGATATCTGTGTTTTGATTTTGATTGCCATTGCTTCGCTGTGTGACCTTGGCAAGTCACTTTACTTCTCTCTATTTTCAGTTTAATCAGCAGAATAGAGAGGTTGGGCTTGATGAGTTCTCAGGGCTCTTCTTGATTTCCTTTTTTATTTTTATGACTTCCTAATGTCTGTGCTTAGCCAGATCTCCAGTGACAGGAAGATGAAACATTATCAACTAAGGAAGCTCCAGATTTTGCTTCTCATTTAATTAAGCCTCAGAACAGTGAGGGTAATATTTGAGCTAAGTAAAGTACACATAAATAAAAATAGTTTGTTCCCCTGATTTTCAGTTGAGGCTCACTAAGTTTTGTGCCATAGTTGAAGGTAAGTCTGGAGTGGGGACACAAAGGGTGGGAGTGCACGTAGAATTTGGACCATGTTATCCAGAGGAACTGAATATTCCCAGAAGTGGGGGTGAGAATATCCTTTATTCCCCAAACATTTCTTTTCTCCGTCAGGTCCTGAAACTTGAACCCTCTTCGGAGTGTATGCTTCTGCTCTTTTGTGATGCCCGGCATACACTATGCTGGGGACATCACACCAGTCATGGAACCTGCACAGGAGTCAGGAGGCAGCCTGTAGGGGCAAGGTAAGTGCGCTGGTTTGTTTTGTAGCTATGTTGTGTGGCTTTGTGAACTGTTAAATATATGCATTTATGCCCTTTGGGATATAAAGTCGCATTTAACCATTATATCCCAAGAAGCATAATAGTTTTAATTGTGCAAAACCGCACAATATAGTTAAAAAATACAACCAAAAGCACAACCCTTTTGCATATCTTTAAAGGCTGATTGCATCTTCCTGAAAGGTTCCATGGCTGGTGTCACATCTCTTACATAGTGTTTGTGAGAGCTGTTGATCCCATCAGGGCAGCCCACCACAGCACCTCCGAAGTGGGGAGCAGTGAGTTTTCATGTAGTTTTTGTGCCGAGTGCCTCCTTTGAGTGTATTTGGCATGGAAACTAGACTTGACAGTTCTTTTTGCAGGATGCCTTTAACCTTAGCTTGATGGCTGCAGAGTGTTTGTGTTGGATAAAACAAGTGAGTGAATGGTGGCTCTTTGGGCTGACTTGCCTCCTAGTACTTAGGACATGAGAATATTCACCCTCCATCCTTCCGTGTAGGGGGTGAGGACAATGCGTGTGGGTTTGCTCATGAACATCTGGCCACAGAGTGGTATGACTGATTTATTCACATGTGAATAATAGCTGACACGGCTTTCTGAATTGTGAAAAAAACAGATTCATCGAACAGGCCACATCGGACAGTGTTCACCCGAGCCATCGAGGCATGCGATCTCCACTGGCAGGATAGCCACTTGCAGCACATTATCAGCAGTGACCTATACACCAACTACTGTTACCATGACGACACTGAAAACTCCCTCTTTGACTCCCGTGGGTGGCCCCTCTGGCATGGTAAGTGCCCAAACCGGAAAGACATTTCCATGACTTACTTCTTTGTTTAGTTTCTATAGCATTATTGGAGTGGGAGGAGGAGAGCTGAGGGATTCAATGGGAGATGGATGAATGCTTGGCAATAGGAGCTGAGTTTTTCATTCAAATCAAAGTTCAGAAATGGTTTGTTGTGTTTTTTTAATAGTATTTTGGGGGGAAAACATCTTACTATTAAATCCTGTTTTTATGGATATATCTGACAGTGGCAACTTTCTCTCGCCCCTTAACTTTCTGTTTTTAGAACATGTCCCTACAGCCTGTGCAAGAGTGGACGCATTACGTTCTCATGGGTACCCCAGAGAAGCATTGAGACTGGCGATAGCTATTGTTAACACGTTAAGGCGGCAGCAACAGAAACAATTGGACATGTTCCGAACTCAAAAAAAAGGTGAATGTGAAGGAGTTTGTTTTCATTGGAATGAATGGGATTTTTGGTGATGACATCACTAGGTTTTGTGCTCTTTTGGGAGAGATGGCTTTTAAAATGAAAGTGATGGAGATGGCAGAACTTAACCACTCATTCGAAATATTTAATATCTGATCTTTGAGAAATTTTAGGTATTTTCCCCCCTGGCTTAATATGGTAAAATGTAAGACTTTTTTTTTTAAGTATCTTAGGTTAGTTAATTTTTTAAGGGGGAGAAGTTTTTATTATTATTACTTACAATTTGAACCAAAGAAAGGGGGAGCTTAATATGTCAAAATTATCTAAAATATAAGTTAGCCAAATATCTTATTTTGTGACTGCATTTTAATTCTAACAGTAGGGTTCTGTGGGGTAGACTGCCTATATTTGAATCATAGCAATCGGTCCAAACTCAAAGTCCTTGGGCAATGACTAGACCTCTCTGTGATTTAGACACCTCATCTGTGGAATGAGGCTCAGTTGAGGACCTATTTCTTAGAGTTCTTGAGAAGATTATTAATCCTTTAAAGCACTTAAAGCAGGGCCTGGCATAGTGTGTAATCACTCTAAAACTTTTTACTTGTTATAATTTGTACATAAGGACATTATATTTACAGTGATCACAGCAGAAAACTCCTCGGATTTTTAAAATTCTGTCAGCATTTGATGATGAACTGTCAGCTGACAGAACATATTTAACTTCTCTTTATCTCAGTTTATTAATCTTTTAGATTTGACATTAAGCATTACTGAGTAGTGGTTAATTGCAAAGAGTCTTACATGAATGAGGCCCTGATCAGAAAAAGAAATACGTATGCTTTTTCTGGATAATCTATACACTTTTTGTTCCATCTGTAGGTATAAATCTTTTTATGTTTCTTTGGCAGGATTGTGTTTACTCTGGAATTTTATTTCTTATTCAGAAAGATAGTTTTAGTTGCTGTTGTTTTTTTCTTTTTATGTTTTTGTTTTTAATTCTTGAGTGATTATACACACTCCACCTAGGATACAGCTAAAAATTATAAAGAAGTTGTTGAAGTAGACGAGGTTAGATTTTTTTTTTTGAACTTTTAGTATCCTCTACATTGAAAGTATTATAAATGTTAACTTTATCATTTATATGATGGAAGAAAATTCCAAAGGTACAATTTGAACCAAAGAAAGGGGGAGCTCAGGTAGTATTGGATTATAATATTCCTGATAATCAAGACTTTGTTGTTCAATCTTTCATGTTCTTCATGTCATCACTGGTTAACAGATATGTTTGCAAGATATGCTGCTTGGTCCTTTGGAAAATTTTCCTGAAATTCCCCTCCCCCTAAATACATATAATATCTGGCCAAAAGGTATTTACTTCTGAAAAGTATAAAGAATGATAATATTTAAACTAAGGAAGATTGAAGCACATTTTATACTACAAAAAGAGAGCTAGCTCATGATTATCTGATCTTTAAAGATCATAACCTTTAAGAACTGTCTTTAAAATGAGTTTAATAAAAATGTTGCAGCCCTAACCCGTTTGGCTCAGTGGATAGAGCATCGGCCTGCAGGCTGAAGGGTCCCAGGTTCGATTCCGGTCAAGGGCATGTACCTTGGTTGCGGGCATATCCCCAGTGGGAGGTGTGCAGGAGGCAGCTGATCGATGTTTCTCTCTCATCGATGTTTCTAACTCTCTATCCCTTTTCCTTCCTCTCTGTAAAAAATCAATAAAATATATATATTTTTAAATGTTGCAAATCTAAGAAATGCAAAGTGTATAAAAATGTTAGCTCATGTAGGTATGTTAGAATACATGTTAAATTAAACTCATTTGGTTATCTTTGAGGCCACTCTTAGACACATTTCCCTTTTATCCTGGGAGCAATGAAAAACTTTATTTCCGATTATTCTTAAGTATTCTGGGATTACATATCTATACCTATATTTTTCTCTACTTTTTTGTCTGTCAGTATTTAAAGAATATCTTTTTCATAGCTGTTGTTCATGCAATACAGTTACTTATTACATGGTCAAGATTGGCAAATGAATTATTTTGTACATTTTTTAATACTATATGGCATGATATGTCAGCTTCTGTTTTTTAACTGATATATAATTTACATTTAGCATTATGTTAGTTCTGGTGTACAATATAATACTGCACTATTTATATATTTCAAAAGGAACAGCCCAATAAGTCTAGTTAACATCCATCACTACATGTAGTTAAAAATATTTTTTCTTATGACGTTTTAAGATCTATTCTCTTAGCAACTTTCAAATATACAATACAGTATTATTAACTATAGTCACCATGCTGTAAATTATATCCTCATGACTTATTTATTTTATGCCTGAAATTTTTTACCTTTTGACCACCTTCTATTTCATCCATCCCCTCACCTTTGGCAACTGCCAATCTGTTCTCTGTATTTGGGAGCTCAGTTTTTTTTGTTTTTTTTAAAAATATATTTTATTGATTTTTTACAGAGAGGAAGGAAGAGAGATAGAGAGTTAGAAACATCGATGAGAGAGAAACATCGATCAGCTGCCTCCTGCACATCTCCTACTGGGGATGTGCCCGCAACCCAGGTACATGCCTTTGACCGGAATCGAACCTGAGACCTTTCAGTCCGCAGGCCGATGCTCTATCCACTGAGCCAAACCAGTTTTGGCGGGAGCTCAGTTTTTTAAAAATATGAGTGAAATCATATGGAATTTATCTTTCTCTGTCTGACTTATTTCACTTAGTTCAACTTCTCAATTTTTTTTCCCTTTGTTCAGACACTTCACTTCTATTAATTTAGTCTGAAATTGCATCATGTTTCTTTTTTTAAAATTTATCTTCCCTTGCCCTGGCCAGTTTGGTTCAGTGGATAGAGTGTCGGCCTGCGAACTCAAGGGTCCTGGCTTCAATTCCAGTCAAAGACATGTACCTTGGTTGCGGGCACATCCCCAGTGGGGAGTGTGCAGGAGGCAGCTGATCAATGTTTCTCTCTCATCGATGTTTCTAACTCTTTATCCCTCTCCCTTTCTCTCTGTAAAAAAATCAATAAAATATATTTTTAAAAAATTTATTTTCCCTTTATTGATTAAGATATTACAAATGTGTCCTTATCCCCCCCAATGTCCTCTTATCCCCCCAATCCTGCCCTCACCCCCTGTTGTCCACATCCATCGCTTATACTTATATGCATGCATACAAGTCCTTTGGTTGATCTCTTCCCCTCACCCTCTCCCTCCCCTACCTTCCCTCTGACTTGTGAGCATCTGATCGATGTTTCTCTGTCTCTACATCTGTTTTTGTTCATCGGTTTATCTTGTTCATTATAATCCACAAATAGAGAGAGCATGTGATATTTATCTTTCTCTGACTGACTTATTTCACTTAGCATAATGCTCTCCAGCTCTATCCATGCTGTTGTAAATGGTAGGAGTTCCTTCCTTTTTACAGCAGCGTAGTATTCCATTGTGTAGATGTGCCAGTGTTTTTTAATCCATTCATCTGCTGATGGGCACTTAGGCTGATTCCAAATCTTAGCTATTGTAAATTGTGCTGCTATGAACATAGGGATGCACATATCCTTTCTGATTGTGTTTCTGGTTTCTTGGGATATATTCCTAGAAGTGGGATCACTGGGTCAAATGGAAGTTCCATTTTTAGTTTTTTGAGGAAACTCCATACTGTCCTCCACAGTAGCTGCACCAGTTTGCATTCCCACCAGCAGTGAATGAGGGTTCCTTTTTCTCTGCATCCTCGCCAGCATTTGTCATTTGTAGATTTATTGATGATAGCCATTCTGACAGGTGTGAGGTGGTACCTCATTGTCGTTTTGATTTTGCATCTCTCAGATGATTAGTGACTTTGAGCATGTTTTCATATGTCTCTCAGCCTTATGTATGTCCTCTTTCAAAAAGTGTCTATTTAGGTCTGTTGCCCATTTTTTGATTGGGTTGCTTATCTTCCTTTTGTTAAGTTGTATGAGTTCCCTGTAAATGTTGGAGATTAAACCTTTATCAGAGATATCATTGGCAAATATGTTCTCCCATGCAGTGGGTTTTTGCTGGGAGCCGGTCCATGCTTGCTGTTTCAAGGGACCTGGCATATATGGCATACTATTCTTAATATGTTTGCCTACCTTCTTGGCACTATGTGTTTTAACCAAGGTCTCTGAGAAAGGTTGTTTCCCCAGGTAGGGATTTTCCCCTGAAGTTAGGGAGGGAATAAAACCCCTCAACTAAGTGCCAGGCGGGTAATTAATCCCTTTAACTATGAACAATCATGCTTAAGCTACATAATCTTTACTCCCTGGAATGGAGATAAGAAACGCCCTAACCTTTGTAATAGAGATTGATAGGATTGGAATCAACTGGTATAAATACAGTTGTAAGAAGACAGAACTTAGAACACAGAACCAAGAGAGACAGAACCTAGGCACAGAACCTACACAGAACGTTCTCTAGAGACAGAAGAACTTCACTGGAGAGAACATGGCAAAAGATCCTGGACTGAACCTGACTACAGAAATTGGCAAGAGAACCTGACTAGAACCTGGTAACTGAACCTGGCTGGAGA